TGAATGGTATTCTTTAAGAAGAGGAAGGAGAAGTAAAAGGTAAAGATAAAAAATTATGAAAAAAGTAAATACATATCTATCAACAAGTGAATCTAAAAATCAAATGAATAAAAAATCTGATGAACAGAATAAACTGGTGAATGTAATAGAATCAGGGGCATGGAAATGGAGTGGACTGACAATTCTCAGGGGGAAGGGATGTGGGGGGTGCAGGAAGAGATTGGACAAAGATCTTATACCTATGGACACGGACAGTGGGGTGGTGAGGTCCTGGGGTGAGGTGAGAACCGCGTGGAGGGGGGTTATGCGGGGAAAAAGAGAGGAACATCCGTAATAATCTGAACAATAAAAATTAAAAAAAAAATGTTGGCCATAGACAGCTGGCACTCTGAGGGACAAAGGCAAATGCTTGATTTGCCTCTGCCCTGTAACAACTATTTCTCACTAACTCCTTGTAAACCAACCTGAATCCTTATTCTAACTTTACAAATTGCAACATAAAGTGAGCTTAACTTTTATATCTTGTTTGCACAGACAGAAAAGCCAGGATTTGCATGCTCTTCAAAGAGAAGCACAAACACCGGCAAAGAGCCAGATCCAGATACGAAGCCATACTGGTCCAGGAACAGGTTTCTTGCCACAAAGAGAGGCCACACCACCATGGCGGGGTACCCGTCCTTGCACATATACACATTCCCGTAGGGCACTGGGGCCACACTACACGGTGCTTCCTTGGCATGTTTTGGGTGAGACACATTTGTAATGAGGGAGTTGTGTGGTGGGTAACTACGCTTGTTGGTGGTGTGCTGTGTTGTGCATTCACATGCACTGACCTTCCACTGTGTGCATGCCTTCAAGATGCACACCTCATTCATTAAATTACTTTTCATAAAATGAAGCTTCATTGTGATGTATGGAAAAGCTTCCTTTATCAGAAGTTCAAGTGTGTTCTCCTGGAACTATAGACAGAAATACCTCACTTTAACCAGTAGATATCCTGTCTAAAATTATGTGCAAATCAATTTTAAGTGATAAAACTCTGTTTTAAACATATTCTGTGAGTGTGCCATGTTAAAAATGTGTCACAACTTGCTAGTGATGTCAAACTGTGGTATCTCAGACTTGCTCAGGATGAGGTGTTCCCACATATAGAAAACAATTCATGTATTACCCGATATTTAATGTTGCATATATTATGTTTAACACAGTTATGTAAGTTTTAAAACCCATTGATTAAAATTATTTCTCTATAACCAGTTGTTTCCATTGATTGGTTAACTGCATAAGCTTTTGTGAACAGGTATTTTAGGTCCCTCACAAGCACCTATGTTGTCAGCGTGCTAGTATCATGTTCAGAAAGGGTCACTCCAGGTCCTGCCAGGCTTCCCATTTGAATTACTTTCTTCCTATCACATTGGGTTGCAGCCCTATACCTTTTTTCTTTTTCTTTTAAATATATTTTTATTGATTTCAGAGAAGAAGGAAGAGGGAGGAGAGATAGAAACATCTATGATTCGCTCATCATGGATCAGCTGCCTCTTGCAAGTCCCCCACTGGGGATCGAGCCCACAACCCAGGCATGTGCCCTTGACCGGAATCGAACCTGGGACCTTTCTGTTCACAGGCCGATGCTCTATCCACTGAGCCAAACCGGCTAGGGCCCTATACCTTTTTTCACTTCTCTTATCTATGCTGCTGACTTCTGCTCCCTTTCCTCTGAGATTCTTCCCCAAATTTCATGGGCAACTTCTATCCTGTACCATAGGAGAATATGGTGGAGCAGCTTGTATCTCCCAACAACTTTTTCCAGGCTGCAGTCCCTCCCCCCAACACATTCAGTAAGTTTCTCATGTTTCATTTCCTCCCCCTAGCACACAACCACCCACTCTTGCCAGAGGCTCTGTACCTCTCAGTGCCCACACCTATCAGTGGGGCAGAGACAGTGGATATTTTGTTGGAACCACCAATATACAAATCTATGACTAAAAGTCCTCTTGCTAAATGATCTCAGACATTGTCTGGTTAGACACTGTTGTTTAGATTATCAATTGTATTGATATCTAAAATTTTCTGGATTTAGTTAGAAGCAACTTATGTTTCTTATCATTCTAAAAGCTACAGTTATATATTATTTTATTGTGTGCCAGGATGGGTAGGCTTATTATATCATTCAATCCTCGTAACAGTATGAAGTAGACATTACAATACTAATTTGTCTAAGATTCAAAGAGGTCCTGTGATTTGCCCAAAGTCACACAGTTAATAACTGGTAGAGGATGACTTTGGAGCAGGTCCACTGAATTTTAAAGACCAAGCTCCTTCCTGCTCTGTAAACTGCCTCCCCATATCGCCTAGCACTGTGCTGAGTACAGGACAATATTAATCAAAACTAACTTTTGTCTTTTATTATACAGTTTTTAAAAAATCTTATCCTGTACACAATTTCACTTAATGCTCAGTAACCCTGAGAGATAGGTATTAGTGTTACTCTTAAATTTCAATACAAAATCTGAAAACAAAAGAAGAGAAAATGACTTCTGAATCACTTCGATACAAAAGAAAGCCGGAAAAAGTAAATAAAGTCAGGATCTAATACAAGACGTCTTGGCATTTCATTCTCTGTGCCCCACTTTGTCTCACTAAGTGTTGTTTGATGTAGAACATGTGGGTTGGGGCTGAAGGGGTAAGGACAACGTTTTTTTCTTTTTGCTTCTATAAGCCTGTACTCTGATGGGCACGAAAGTGTTTGTTCATTCATGAGCACCTGGGATGTGCCAGGCTCAATATACAACAATGAAAAAAGGCTGAAAGTTCCTGAACTCAGTTTACATTGTAGTGTGGAGAAGACAAACAGATAAATTACAAGGATATGTCCTACAGGACGCTGTGGTAGGAAATAAGGAGGGGTAAATTTACAGAAAGATCAGAAAAAGCATTTCTGAGAAGCTAGCATTAATTGAATGAATGCATGAATAGCAACCCGAGATTTTGTTGGCCATTAGATTTTTTTTATGGTTCTGACGGCGAATACCCTTTGGACCTTATGTTGCTGATGCCCAAATGCCAACTGCAGAGGCGAGTCATAACGAAGAATCCTTCCCATTATTTTCTTCTTCTGACCTTGCCTTGGCTGTCAGGGTCACACCCCATTGCCACGCCCATTCTTCTGCTTCCGGGCGCTTCCGGCCTGCGCAGGCGCAGGAGAAACTGCCGTTCCTAGTGGAGGGCGCGGATCCTACTACAAAACGCATGCGCCCCAGACCCGTAGGCCCCGCCCAGACCCCTGCGTGGGCGCG